AAAGCACATTCTCTATAGTTTTCCAGTGTGAACTACTAGACAAGCAGAAGAGAGAGGTTGGTCTGCATGATTGACACAATTCCACTGTGAGCCTCTTGGTCTCTCCATTTCGGACGAGAAAGAAAGAGATTGTATTGACCATTTTCCCCCTACAAATGATAAAGTGGCCAGATACACACAAGTAACTGAGTCTTGTATGGGATGGAGACAGGAAGAGGAAGGAGAAAGACAAAGAGAGCGGAAAGAAGAATGTGATGATCTCCCCAGAGCAGTTTCCAGGTTGCTTGAGGACGGAAAGCACTTGTGTGTGAGTCTGGCTCTGAGCCAGACTTACTGAAAGGTGGTTTGCACTTCTGTTTGTATTGGGAGTCCCCTTGCAATCAATCAGCACATGCTGTCATCGATGTTGATCTCTAGAACGGGCCTGAACTCGCTGCCGCCAGTGCTTTCGTTTCATGTGCTTCCATTTGCCTCTGGGTATGGGCCCTGAGGAACAGTCTTTTCCTAATTCCCTGGCCTAGTTGAGTAAAGGAGCAGCAGTATACAGGGTGCAACAAACATGACAGTGCATCTCTCCACGTTCTCGCGGAGGGTTCGTTTTCCTTCCTCCATCGGGGGAGTGACCAAGTGAGACCCACACTGCACATAAGAGGGGCTGGCGCACAATTGGCGACGAAAGGCAGCTAGAAATTAGGCGTATACACAGACAGAACCGTGGAAAGAGTTGGAATGAATCTAGCCACTACCTTGAGCCAGATTCGTTCAGTGCTGCTTAGCCTCACGAGACAGATGCGCCCCGTCATGGCGGTATGACAGTTCAAGCTCATAGCTGCCCTCACGCAGAATCCTGAGGGGATATATGTTGAAGAGCCGGGAAGAGAATTCAGAAGCGATTGTACACCAGAATTATCCATTAGTCAAGATCCCGCTCGCGTGGGTGTAGCAGGTACGAGAGAGAGAGAGAGAGAGAGAGAGAGAGAGAGAGAGAGAGAGAGAGAGAGAGAGAGAGAGAGAGAGAGAGAGAGAGAGAGAGAGAGAGCGACAGAGACAGAGAGAGAGAGAGAGAGAGAGAGAGAGAGAGAGAGAGAGTGTGCACGCTGAGAGAGTGTGCAGATTGACAGAGAGAGAGAGAGAGAGGTAAGACAAAAGAGTGACATGAGTGGGTTTCTGTTCCCTGATATTATTGTTATTTATAAAATAATAAGAATAATTATTCTTTCTTATTTATTTTCATTCACCTTGTTTATAGGCACACGCTGACTCCAGATGAGCCGGGCTTGAGAACTGGCGGGGGAGAGCGAGAGTCAGCAGCACGCGCTCCGTTGAGAGAGAGCAAAGAGTGAGAGTCCGTGCAAAAGTGTGTGACCGCAGGGATGGGACAGCATGTGCGTGAGATTGTGCGTTCAGCGAGAGAGAAGGACTGCAATGACTGAGAGAGAGTAAGAGAGAAAGTAATTGAGAAGGCGGATCTGCAGTCTTTTGGACAAATATCATGCATCTGGCCCCTGTAAGAGTCTGAGTGCATTCGGACTTAGCTTCCTTGTTTCAATTGGGCCCGGGAGCTCCCTCCCGGATGATCCATTTCGTTCGCTGATTGTTATTTCTTCGCTGCTTCGGTCGAGCACAATGTGGGAAGGGCTAGTATCCAATCTTATGGCTTGCGAGATGCCGGACACGAAAACGACTCAGACTTGAAGCGGGAAATCGCCCCTCGAAACGGGCTCTAAAGTGGGGCTGCCTTCATGAGCATGAGAAGGAGTAATATCAATTGTAATTAAAAAAAATTTCGTCATTTTTATTGTCTTTATCTTGCTTGCTTGGTTTTAAATGAAAATAGTCGCTGCAAAGATCTGAGCCTAGATGCAAGAATCAATAAATGCTAGAATGAACTCTGGAATACTTTCTGGTCATTTGGGAAGCGAAAAACCTTAACCGAGATCAGTCTTCAAAAGGGAGTGTAACAGACGATTAAAACGTATCACAGCACCCTGCCGCTCGCTGAGGACCTCGGATGCAGGAGCAACGAGTGACAGGCGCTGTGGCCCCTGGCTTYAGCGAACGGTAGGCGACCCCTCCCCGGGTTTCCTCACAACTTTGGCGCCGTTGCCGGGGAGGGGATTGCACCCCCAAGGCCGCGGCCGTCCCCAATCAATGAGGGTGCGCCGTATGATTAGCTGATCGCTAATTAGCCTGATTAGATCGATTTTCCTGGATTAGCTCGAATTTTGATAATTTATCTTATTTATTTAATCTGTTTTTGTTTGATTACTCCCGAACCGAGCGTTATCGCGCAAACTACACAGGAAGAAAGTTCGTCCTCTCGTCGAGACGAACGTTTCGAGACGTTTTTTGAAAAATTCTAACAGCTAGAAAAAGAGATATGGAATTTTTTGTATTTTTTAAATAAAATCTCAAAAGAGTTTAAATTTCTAATTCGTTTTTTTTCGATATCTCCCGATCCGCGCGCTTTCGTGCGAGGTGCACTCGGAGCAAAGTTCGACCTCTCGTCGAGGCGAACGTTTTGAGATGTTTTTTGAAAAATTTTAACAGCTAGAAAAAAAGATGATTTTTTTTGTATTTTTCTAATTAAAATTTAAAAAATCATGGGTTGCCTTTTATTTTTATTGCGAAGAAAAGAAGCGGAATTAGGGGAACCCYGCCCAGACCAAAGTTGGTCCTTGTATGTTTCCCGACGACACGAGACCTTAATCGGAAAAAACGGACCTCGTTTGAGTAAACGGTGGGGTCCGACAGGAAAGAAAAGAAAAGAAAATAAGGGGAAAAATTGAATTTCTTTATATTGAACAAACGAAAGGAAGGAAGAAGATGGGAATGTCGTTAACACCAAGTCTTGATAACCCATTCCAAATAGTCCCTCGTTGCCATGTCTGAACCCCAAAAAGTCGAGTTTGGATCATATGTCACCAAGCCCGGTATCTCTTCTCTCGTAGTCTGCAACTGCAGGGAAGTCAGAAGTTGAGAGGGTAAGAAGAAGATGGGGGGACTGAGAAGAGGAAGAAGAGAACTCTCTCTCTCTTACTATTACGAACCAGGTACTAACCTGTGATGTTGGCGCTGTGCTGCAGGTACCTCGAAGACGAAGCTGGAGCAACGGCGTGCAGGTAAGTGATCCCTGGCCTTCGCCTATCATCTCTATCACTACCTAGCTATGGCGCCCAGCGCCGAAGACTACAGCTACCTACTGCGCCCAGCGCTGAAGACTACTAGCTAACACTACTCTACTACAACGCAGTGCTCCCTCCAGAGTGCTGCTTCCGAATCCTGAAGACTACAACTGCCGAACTGCCTGCCTCCGAAGTGCCTGGGAAGTCCTATGTACTACCTCGGCCTGCCTCCTGACTACTGGAGGCCAGTCAGGCCGAGAAGGCAACTCTTGCCAATGCCGAAATGTGCCAGGGGCTGGCGTGTAGCAGCCTGCTTGAGGCTGGCTTGGGAAACAAACTAATAATAGTCTGTTTCCGAAACCCTGGTTCAGTGCCTGAGTCTCAGGGCCGGTTGTTCTAATGAACGACCGAAAATGGCCCTTCGTTTCAGGCTAAAAAGGTTGTTGCCATTTTTAGTTTGAAACGACTCGGGATAGGCCCTGGACTTCAGGCTTTTGGCCTGAACCGACAGGGGGCCTGTAAGCCCTGGATTTCAGGCTTTCGGCCTGAAGTTCAGGCTTTTGGCCTGAACACCGTCGAGCCTGCAAAATGGCCGTCGGGCCTGCAAAATGGTCGTCGGGCCTGCAAAATGGCCCGTGTGTGCACGCGCTGCATGTAACACCCCCCCCAACTTATGAAGTCAAGCCGGGGTGAGGGCGAAGCCGTCGATCCGAAGGTGGAACCTGGACGCGGGCGAGGCGTGGAGCCGAAGAAACCGACTTGCCTTGCATCTTGCGTTCATAGTGTGCGAAAACGTCTGGAGCTGTCGCTTGCAGTTCCGCACGGGTCAACCAACGATGAGCTCGATGAGTGCAGTAAGCAAAATGCACCAGATACTCAGTTGGCTTGTTGCCGTAGCGTTGCTGGAAGATGATGTCGCCGATCTCCTGAAAACCATCCATAGAAGGTGGATCTTGCGTACGTCTCCCGGGAAAATCGTCATGTTCGGCAGGCGTGTACAGAGCCAATTTGGAACAATGAAAGACTRGGTAGACGGGCAAGTGGCTAGGCACCTGAATCGTGAAGGAAGGCCCTTCCAGGGCGTCCCCAGCGGGCTCGATGATCGGCCAAGGCCCCATCCATTTCGGAAGGAGCTTGCGAGAGATGTTCTGTTAAAGGCTGAATTCCGCTGCTGAAACCCAGACAAGATCTCCGACGCGGAATGGACAAGGAAGACGCTGGCGATTTGCCTGTTGGCGCATGCGCTGTTGCGTCTTAGCCATGCCTTGACAAGAAGCTCTTGCATCCGACGCAAGAAGAGAAGATGGTCGTCGCTCTCGGCCGTGCGTGGAGTGATAGTGTCCAACGGTGATGTGACCGGGGAGCCATGCTCGAACTCGAAGGGCGATATCCGTATAGTCGGGTGGATGGAAGAGTTGTAGGGCAACTCAACGTCCGGCAGTCGCTCAACCCAGTCTTTCTGGTCGGGGCGGATGAGAGTGCGAAGAAGAACCTGTGCGGTCTGATGCGCCCTCTCCGTCTGGCCATCAGTCTGAGGGTGGCGAGCTGAACTGGGCTTGAGAGATGAGCCCCATCGCTTGATGAACGCCAACCAAAAATCGGACATGAACCAAGTGTCGCGGTCGCAGACGGTCTCCTTGGGGTAACCCTTGGTGCGAATCCAACCGGCGTTCAGAACCTCGGCCAACTCCGGTGCCTTGGCATGATAGCGACAAGGCAAAAACATGGCGAACTGGGTGAGTCGGTCGACCACCGTGAAAATCCCATCCACTCCGGTCTTGTGCTTGGGGAACGGGCCGGTGATGTCCATGGCAATCGCTTCCCTTCGCCTCAACGGGACTGGCAATGGTCGTAACTCGCCGTACGGACGATGGTTGCGGGATTTGCAGCGTTGGCAAACCTCGCATGACTCGCAATAGCGTGTGACGTCGCCGAGAAGGCTGGGCCACCAAAATCGCTGGCGAAGTCAGCCAATCGTGCGATTGACTCCAAAATGTCCGGTAGCGGGAGCGTCGTGAAACTCGCCAAGAAGCCGGTTACGCAAGTGAGGATCGCTTGGTACGCAAAGAAGGTCCTTCCCCCGCGTGTGGACGAGCAAGTACCCCTCTTGGATCCGGTAGTGAGAAGGAGCCAGATGAGGAGAGGAGCAATTCGTGTATTTGTTGCGAAAATCGGGGTCGGCTTGGTAGCCGCGGATGAAGCTGTTCCGCAGGTCGTCGTCGATCTCGAAGGTTGAGTAGACCGCGGTACAGTGATCCGGACGCCGTGAAAAAGCATCCGCAAAACGGTTCGACTTCCCAGGAATGTGGTCGGGGAAGAAGTCGAACTGGTCGATGAAAGCCATCCATCGAGCGATGGTGCTGTTGACGGTGTCCTGTGTCTTGTAGAAGACCAACAGATTGTTGTCCGTTACCCAGCGAAACTGGCTTCGACCAAGGAGGAAGTGCCGCCACCGCTTGAGCGCGTGGACGAAGGCGAGGAGCTCCTTTTTGCGTGCATCGTCAATGGAATGCACGAGGGGCACTTTCTTGCTGAAGTACTCGACCGGGTGCCAGTCCACACCATCATGTTGCTCGAGGACTGCACCAATGCCATAGCCTGACGCATCCGTAGTGACACGCATAGACGCGAGCGGATCGTAGATTCGCAAGACCTCCGCAGACAACAGCGCGGCTTTGAGAGCGAGGAATGATCCCCGCGCCTCCTCTCCAAAGTCAAACGGCCGATCCTCACACTGAAGCTTGTTCAAGTGGGCCACGATCTTTGAGTAGCCTTTGATGAAGCGCTGATAGTAGCCGGTGAGACCAAGGAATGATCGAACATCTGTGACGTTCCGAGGCTCCGGCCACTCCAGGACGGCCTGAATCTTGTCCGATAGCGGACTGATGCCCTCCGGTGTGACAAAATGGCCCAAGTATTCCAGCTCCTGCTGGACAAACTCACACTTGTCGCGGTTGGCCTTGTACTTGGCACAGCAGAGCGTCTCCAACACTCGTCAAAGATGCCCCAGATGATCCTCCAATAACTGGCTGTAGACGAGAATATCGTCTAAGTAGACCAGCACGAACCGGTCCAACATCGCACGGAACTCATTGCCCATAGCCGCCTGAAAGGTCGCCGGGGCATTGGTGAGGCCAAAAGTCATGACCATCCACTCAAAATGCCCGTACCGCGTCTTGAACGCGGTTTTGTAGCGTTCGGACGGCTGAATCGAGATTTGATGATAACCTCATTTTAAATCCAACTTGGAGAAATACTTGGCAACGCCCAGCCGCTCAAGAAGATCGTCGATGCGAGGAAGAGGCCCCGCATTCTTGACAGTCTGCGCGTTGAGCTTGCGGTAGTCGATGCACAATCTCAGATCCTTGTTCTTCTTCCTGACGAAGAGAACTGGTGCTCTATATGGGGAGCTACTCGGGCGAATCCAGCCCTTGGCCAACAAATCATCGAGTTGTGCGCGGAGTACGTCAAGCTCCTTCTCGCTCATCCGATAGATGCAACCTTTCGGCGGTACGGTACCGTCCTCAAGAATGATCTCGTGAGAGATTGGCCGACCCGGCACCACACCGGTAGGTGACTCGAAGATGTCGGCGAATTTGTCCAGCAACCGTACCACAAGGGGGTCCGAAGACAAGTCCGTGGGTGAAAAGTCGGCTACCGCGACGGTCCGTAGGAAACATAGGCCGATCTCCTCGGGCTGCTCGTAAGCGCAAGTCGCCCGAAATGATTTGGCCGTCACCACTTGGCACCGGATCGAAGAGTGCGGTAGAGGAAGCGTACACGCCACTTCCCGCCGAAGGTGTCGCGAACGCTAGGAGTCCGCCGATGGAAGTTGACCGTGTGATCCGCACTTGCGAGCCAAGGCATTCCCAGAATGATGTCGAAGTCCGTGTCGAGAATATCGAATGTTACCGGTTCGCATGCATGAGGTGCGAAGTAGACCGGTACGGCCTCGATGTAACGGTCGAGAAGTTGCTGCGTCTTACCATCCGCCAACTTGATCGCCGTCGGGTTTGCCTTCCTCCGAACCTGAGCGCCAAGGCCAGCCCTTTGCATAAAAGACTGGCTCATGAAGTTGCGAGTCGCGCCGCTATCCAACAGAGCGTTGCAGGACGCCTGTCCAACCTGGATGCGGACATACATGAGTGGTGCATTGTTGTTATCGTACCGCTGCGTGCGAAACTCGCGGGCCACCTTGGTAGTATAAGCCAAGATGTCCCCCACCGCGACCTCGTCATCCGTCGGTGAAGTCGGTGGTGCGTAGAAGGAAAGGTAAGTGTGGAGATGAGCGGTAAGTGCTGCACATTGCGGTCCCGGCAAACAGCCTGTGGTCGGGAGAGGAAGCCATGCAAAGTCCTCAGACGTGAGCGGGTCCAAGGCCTCTATCTTGAACTCGCGCGTCGAATCCCATGAATCACCACTTGAAGACGAATTGTTGTTGTTGCCGGACGGAGAGGAAACCGCACACACTCCTTGTCCTTGAGCTTGAGTACCCAGCGTTGGAACGAGCCGGGCAGCATAGTCCTCGAAAGAAAGTAGAAGCGAAGGACTGTCGACTTCCGCGTGCGCCTCGGAATGAAGGTTAGTCACTCGCGAAGAAACCAGTTCCGAAGGCGTCGAGAGTGTCGTCGCATCACTCTCGGCGATGCTTAGTTTCCCTGTCGACCCTTGCCCTTCAGTGGGCAAATCGGCGTCTGATGAAGATCGTTGTTGCACCACAGGCAATAATGGCATCTCTCGCGCGCCTTGTAGGCAGACTCGGATATGTCGTACGGGGTCCATGGGCCTGTCTGAGCTGCTGCACCGGGCCCGGGGCTAGAAACGGTGTGTGTCTTCGGCTTGCCGCGACCTCGGCCTCTGCCGGCGCGGCCACCTTCCCGGGCGGCTRCGAATCTGTCCCCTTCACTGGCAGACGCAACCTCGCTGGATTGGTCTAACGGCGTTGCCGCTGCGACCACGGCCACTGTGGCCGATGCTGGTTCCCGCTCGGGCCTGACGCAGATGAACGGAGGTTCTTGGCCTCCTTGTTCGTGATTATGATCTGCGCAGCCTTGTCGAATAACTCCGCCGTCGTCGTCAAGGTGTCCTCGACATGCGTGAGGGCATTGCTCAATGCCGGACATGACCTTGAGATGAAATAGTGGCGGATGGCTTTGAAGCCCATCGAGATGTTTGGGACGGACGTCAAGCGTTGGAACTCGGCGATCCAGTCCGCACTCGGCAGCGAGCCCTGCTCGAAGACCATGAGCTTGTCCATGGCCTTGATCTCTGGCGGCTCCACCTGGAACCGCTTGTGCCATGCTGCCTTCAGATCATCCCAGGTAATCTTGGTGTGCAAGTCGGCTGCTACTACTCCGTACTTGGACAGGAGGTTGTCCAACCAAGCCTGGCACGCGCCCCCTGAGCGAGAGTACAAATAGGAGTGATGCTTGTGTTCCTTGACGTTGGACAACTGCAACGTCAGCTCGAACTTGCGGAACCATGGAATAGGATCTGTCTTGACTTCGTCGCAGAAGATCTCCTGCCCGTCGAACTTTGGAGTTGACTCGCGCGGCTCCGGACTTGAGGTGGTGGCGGTAGTGCAGATCCGCTGTTGCAACTGCTGCGTCGCGGTCTGCTGTAACTGTGCGCCGTCCTGGAGGGAGCTGACGTGCATCTCCAATGCGGTGGGGCGGTCGGCAGTATTGAAAGAGCCTACGTCGGCGGCGGCGACTGGTCGCTGCTCCAACCGCTGAAGGCGGTCTTGGAGATGAGCTACCGAGTTATCGAGGCCCAGGATCTCCGCCTGCAGTGTAATGCAGGTTGCCAGGAGATCCGTGAGATGCGAGAGGAGGAGCGCTATCTTGTTTGCGCTGTCCTCCAACTGGCTATTATCGGCCTCGGTTCGCCATTCTGCTGCCATGGTAAGTAACGCCCGCTCTCCGATAAATTTTCTTCTCGCGACGCTGGTTCCTTTCTTCATCGGCAACCCGTGCTGCTGCCTCGTCATGCTGGCGCTGCTGTTCAACCGCCAGGAGACGTGCCTGCTCGGCATCCTCTGCCCTCTTCTTCGCTGCCGCCGCAGCGTCATCTGCTCGCTTCTTTGTCTCGGTACTCCAGGCTAACATGCGGGCCTGATAGGCCTCGTCTGTTTCCCCGGCCTTCCGGTCCATGACTGTTGTCTGTGAACGCAACAGCATAGACCAGACCGGTGCCTGGTGATGTGGTATCCCTTGCTGCTGACGTGGCAATGCTGACGTGTCCTGCTGTCGTGTCCTGCTGACGTACTTACGTAGCCTGCTGACGTGTCCTGCTGACGTGGTCTGCTGATGTGGCCTGCTGACGTGGCAACTTACCAATGCCGTCACAAGGGGTACCCGGAGACAACAAAAAACAACAAGGCGAGGGATGGCAACAACATAGGTGGGGAGGGGTGGGTGGGATAATCGCCCAACTCACACTTTAAGGAGCCACTAATCAAATTAGAAAAGTTTGAACTTTGCAAAAAGTTTTTCGAGAAAACAAAAAAAAATCCCGATTTTTGCAAGTTCGGTAGGTCTCCCAACCTCCCTTGAAGTTCGAAATGATCACTGAAAGCAAAAGTTTTCGACTTTAAACTGTAACCGATTTACAGAACCACTGACAGAATCCAAGAACTGCGAAAAAAAGGTCCGAACAAGAATGACAAATATTCGGATTTATTCCGATGGGAATATTCGCAGTTTGAAAAAAAATAATACGTGCAGAGGTATTTCCCGTACCATTTTCAGAAAAACGAAATTATGAAAAGAAGATATTCCGAAGTTCTAAGTAACGGGAAATGCAACAGAAAATGGAAACTTTTCAAAAAAATATATTCCGGATTTTCTTAAAACGAAATTTCAAATTTTCAGAAAGAAAAAACGAAGATAGGAATTTCAGATGTTGCGATATAGTGATTTTCCACAGCAGAATAGCGATAAAATAAAAAGTCCGAGAAAAAAAAAAAAATCGATTTTTTTTTTTTGTAGTAAGGTCAAGATCGTGATTTGGGGGTCTAACTAGTATGTCCTAATCAAACAGAAAAGACAAACTAGCTTTTTGATCCCCGCACACGTGTCAGATTAGATCGTCCTGATTCGCGTGCAAAAGTTTCGATACCAACTGTTACATGTGCAGATATGCAATGTACGGAATAAACCGAGAATCTGCAATGTGATGAAAAGGACTGAATAGACAATGCGGTACGAGTAAAATCTCGACAAGCAATGTACATTCTCATTCATACATAAAGATGCTGAAGAGCGCAGGGAAGACTTTAATACAAAGAGTGACCTGACAGGGCTGACCTCATTCACGTAGTTCAGAGTAACGAAGCAGAATGCTAGAGTACCTCTAACTAGCTCAATCAATGTTTGAACTCAGACTAAACATGCATTGTATCCATCACGAAGTGTGAAGGAGCTTGGCGCTGCACACAGGAAGATAGCGCCAGGTCAAGACATACACAGGCGAAGAGATAAGGAACAGACGAAAGGAGGGAAGAAGATGGGAATATCGTTAACACCAAGTCTTGATAACCCATCCCACATAGTCCTTCGTTGCCATGTCTGAACCCCAAAAAGTCGAGTTTGGATCATATGTCACCAAGCCCGGTATCTCTTCTCTCGTAGTCTGCAACTGCAGGGAAGTCAGAAGTTGAGAGGGTAAGAAGAAGATGGGGGGACTGAGAAGAGGAAGAAGAGAACTCTCTCTCTCTTACTGTTACGAACCAGGTACTAACCTGCGATGTTGGCGCTGTGCTGCAGGTACCTCGAAGACGAAGCTGGAGCAACGGCGCTGCAGGTAAGTGATCCCTAGCCTCCGCCCATCATCTCTACCACTACCTAGCTATGGCGCCCAACGCCGAAGACAACAGCTACCTACTGCGCCCAGCGCTGAAGACTACTAGCTAACGCTACTCTACTACAACGCACCGCTCCCTCCAGAGTGCTGCTTCCGAATCCTGAAGACTACAACTGCCAAACTGCCTGCCTCCGAAGTGCCTGGGAAGTCCTATGTACTACCTCGGCCTGCCTCCTGACTACTGGAGGSCAGTCAGGCCGAGGAGGCAGCTCTTGCCAATGCCGAAATGTGCCAGGGGCTGGCGTGCAGCAGCCTGCTTGAGGCTGGCGTGGGAAACAGACTAATAATAGTCTGTTTCCGAAACCCTGGTTCGGTGCCTAAGTTTCAGGGCCAGTCGTTCTGATGAACGACCGAAAATGGCCCTTCGTTTCAGGCTAAAAAGGCTGTTGCCATTTTTTGTCTGAAACGACCAGGGATAGGCCCTGGACTTCAGGCTGTTGGCCTGAACCGGCAGGGGGCCTGTAAGCCCTGGATTTCAGGCTTTCGGCCTGAAGTTCAGGCTTTTGGCCTGAACACCGTCGGGCCTGCAAAATGGTCGTCGGGCCTGCAAAATGGCCCGTGTGTGCATGCGCTGCATGTAACAGAGAGTAAGTGAGAGAGAGAGAGAGAGAGAGAGAGAGAGAGAGAGAGAGAGAGAGAGAGAGAGAGGGAGAGTGCGCTTGTTTGTGTGTGTGCGCATGTGTGTGTGTGTGTGTGCGTGTGCATGTGTGTGCGGGTGTGCGTGCGTGTGCGGGACTGCCATTTTTTTATTTTTTTTTTGTGTGTGTGTGTGTGTGTGTGTGCGCGCGCGCTCGCGCGCGTGGTGGGTGGCGAGGGGGTGGGGCGACCCCTCCCCCACCAATCAATCAGTCATTCAATCAATCATTCAATCAATCAACAAAAAAAAAAAAAGCAAAATCGAATAAATCAATCAATCAATCAATCCTTAGGCGGGGTGGGGTCAATCAATCAAAGGCGGGGTGGGGCGATCCCACCCTCACCAATCAATCAATCAATCAATCAATCAATAAATCAACGAAAAAAAAAAAAAAAAAAAAAATTTTTTTTTTTTTTTTTTTAATTATCTTCGATCACAGCCTAACCCCCGCAACCAAAAAATTGTTTTTTTTCTTTTTTTTTTGTTCGAGGGGGTGGGCCTGGGGTTGCGCCGCCCCATGGCGCTTCCCAAATCCCCAACCCCCCTCCCCACTGGCCGCCACGTGGCCTCAAAGCTGCGCTGCCGCGGGGACACGTCCGCGGGGTCGCGGACCTGGCCGCGGCCGCGGACTTCGCCGCGCTTGGCCGCCGCCGGGGGGGATTCGTATCCTGCAGATGGTCGTCTTCGGGCATAGTCACACCAGTCCTTTCCCCGATGTATTTGACCGCTTTCGTAACACGGCGTGGATGCAGCTCACTGCAACGAAGGGTCTAGCTCCACCACTCTAGACTCTCGAAGGTTTTTAAGAGTGAGTCTAGAGCTGTCAGACTCTCGAAACGACTGAAAAAAAGAACATCGCTCCACTTACTCTAGAAGGTTGAACTCGAGAAGGCCTCTCGGATGTCAGACCGCTCTTTGAACGGGCTACACGACACGGCCAGCACGTTGTTGTCCGCCCAGACTCCAGGTGCACTTCAAAAAAATGCTCAACTTTTGAAGGTCCTGGATGCCTCCCGTGAAATTCCCGCCGCTGCAGGCAGGCGCTCTCGAAACGTCAAGAGTGCCACGGGAGAGGAGGTTCTGACAACTCAACAAAAGCCTTTTCGTGAGTGTGATTCATGAGGTAGTGGAGCGACGACGGACTCTCGCCATTTTCGTGAGTAGAGACTGACAGCTCAAGAAGCCGAATTCCAGACTTGGCGTCTAGAGTAAGTGGAGCGGTGCCACACTCAAGAAATGGCCGGTTTCTAGAGTAGTGGAGCGAGACCCTAAGTCCACAGAAAGCTAGAAAAGGTCTTCTTCTTTTTTTTTTTTTTTTTTTTTTTTTCAAGGCCTCACAATTCAACCCGGAAGTATCTGACAGCATCAGCCAGCTTAGCTTACGGCCCCCCCCAAACCGAGGACCAATCAACTGAAATCATCATTCTCAACGAAGCCGCCAGTCAACCCAGGATATTACAACCCACCCGAGAAAGGTCTTCTTCTTCATCCCAGCTGAAGGGATGCTCTTTGTCTCCCCAAAAGAGAAAATAGAAAAAGCAAGATGCTAACTACGGCGGAGTCACTTTTTCAGTTGTTTTAAATGCACTTCCGGCAACCCTCGAATACAACACGTCCCCACCCAACCCTAAAGTTGGGTTGTACACATCCGCAATTTTCCTCGCTTTGGAGCGGCATTCACAAAATCGGGACTGAGGGCCTCTTTCCACTACTCGCCATCCGCCACAAACAGTGGTGAGACTTGGCGAGGCCGGAAAGTGCATTTTTCTGGCGGAAAACGGCTCTTGGTTCCATTACATCGCCGCTGCCACCTGCGCCGTGGTTGCTGTCCCGGCCTGCTCCCCGGACTGTGGCGAATGGCGAGCTAATGGGACGGTGGCGGCCTTCTCTTCACCATGTACTCGGACGGGAAATCAATCCAGGTGCAGCGAAAACTCGCCAACACTAGGGGACAACGCAGGTCTACTGTCAGAACCAATCTGTCAGGGGCAATGGCCACACGAAGCATTTCGCGGAGGGGTGAGGAGTAGCGCCCTCCACGAAGGGCCGTTGCAGGCAGGGGAAATGGAAAGCCTCGGCGACACATGGCCAAGTGATTTCAGACCCAAATTCTGACAGCGTCCATTTCGTGGCGGATGGCGATGCAGTGGAAAGAAGTCGCATCCACCATGCGTGGCGGATGTCGAGTATGGAAGGAGGCCCTGAAACACATTGAAAACTAAAAAGCGGGCCTAGCTCCGTTGGTAAGGCACAGAAGTTGCATTCAGGAGGTTGGGGGTTCAATCCCCATTGGCCTCACGTACGTGCCTGGGCAAGCTTGGTGTTCTACCAGCTACAGATAACCCGTTGGCCCCCCAAGCCAGCATTGGCCGGACCTTGGCTGATGTTGTTGGCTGCTATGCAGCGACAATATTGGCCACTAGACACCGCCATGTGGGGTTGGGAGGGGGGTAGGTGGAGGTGCAGTGACTGGCCGAGGTGCAGTGCCATTGTTCGGCGCTAGCACCGCCAATTTCCCCCATCCGTAATGCCTGCCCACCCCTGGTACAGCCTTGCTCTCGCACCACAGCAGTGGTGCCAACCTACCCCGTGGGCTGGGGAGAGATCGGGCTTGGTTGGTGTTCCCCCGAACTGTACATAGACTAGTGAGAGGATGAGATAGATGCGTACTACGAAGAAAGATGAAATAGATGAGAGAAGAATATAATGAGATGCTCTTCTTCCCACCTCCTTCCTCGCGGCAGACTTGTTGGGGGCGAGGTCCCACCAGCACACAGGATTAGGGGCGGACGTGCTTGAGGATATGTTCAGAAAACGACTGGTGATTTCAATTTCTGCATAGTAACACCTGCATAGTAACACAAGACAAGTCCAGATTCAGACCTTCAATCCAATCCTTCTTGCTAATGGGACCTTGGCCGGGCTTGCGTTCTTGATGTATGTGTGTCCTCCTAGCGCCTGGGCCTGGCAGCAGGGCACACGCGACGAGTGTATCTTCTGGCATTTTCAAAATGGAATGATTCATCCCGTTATTACAACTGGTCAGAATGTATTCTGCCACACTCTGCTGGCAGATGCGCTCGTTCTTTTTTCCCTTCTGTTTAGGGTATTGTGCAGCGAGACCTTATAATCTATTCATTGCGAATATACTTCTCCCACAAAGACCGAATATCCTTCGAGACATACGTCAAAATTATAATCGAGACGGATTCAGAGAACTTGAGAGAAGATAAGGCCCCACTGGCCAGCAGCTGGAAAAGTTTTTTTTTTCCCCCCCCCCCCTTCTGAGGAGAGGCCGGGGACCTCACAATTCAACCCGGGTGGAATATCAGGGCAGCCGTCTGGTTTTGGCCATTTCTGTCCCTAGATTATCTTCCCAATGCCTGTACTTCTGAGGAGAGGCCGGGGGCCAAGTCCCACTTACGCTGATCCTTGATTTCTGGTCGTTGATCTTCCAAATCTGCGGTCAGAAATCGATCATTCGGTAAGTGGGACTTGGCCCCGGGGACCTCACAATTCAACCCGGCTAGAAGATCTACAGTTCAGGTTTCCTTTCCGGGTTGTTTTGTACGAGGGATTCCCGGCCTCATTTACGATTTTTTTTTTTTTTTTTTTTTTTTTTGGGAAAAGGTAGAGGATCCTTTATTCAAAGCATGCTGAGCAAAAACTCTGAGGCCGGGAATCCTCAACAAACAACCCGGAAAGTAACCAGGGCCGCTGAGGGGACCAGCTTCTGATCGTTGTGTCTAGGCAAATACTGCAGGCCTATTCCCCACAGAAGATACCCAAAAACTTGTACTGAGCCCTCTGCTCTTATCAAGATCCATAGCTCGAGCTCTCTGCTCTTCAACAGGTCTCCTAAGTAACCAAAAACCAAGCAGCACTAATGCATATACCCCAACAATTGGTGCACAGGTCTAAAACGGCCTGTTAAGACACCATCACAATGTGACACTCCAACCCCTTCCCCAAAACTACTGAGTTGTAGCCTGCTAAGTCTGCCTGCCTCCTGTGGCTGGTACAACCGAGTGTCCTGGTTAGTCCTGCAACTTGAGAGTTTTCCCAAAACAATATGTTACAGCTGGAAGGAACTAAATCACTCTCAAATAGCTTTTAAGTGATAGATCCTACCACCTGTACTTATTGAACTACTTCTACAACGAAAAAAAAAATTCCTATATTACTTAGGGGCTCGTTCGACACTCCTTGGGGCGTCCTCGGAGCCCGAGGAAAAATTCCTTTTAGTCAAAAGGAAATTTGGGCCCTTCGCTCCACCTGTCCTCGGGGACGTCGCCCGAGGACGTTTCCTTGGAGCGATGTCAGAAAAGAAAAAAGGAAAAAAAAACAAAACAAATGTGCTTAAGGCCTTCAGCCAATAGGGTGCCGCCACGATCCAGATTCTCGGTTGTAACGTCTCTCTACGCGTGTGCCCGCTCCTCTCCGTGAAACGTGGATTCCTTTTGCCCAAGGGAGGTCCCTTGGGCAAAAGGGAGAAATGGCTAGGGAATCCTCGGAGCCCGAGGAATTTCCTTCGGAGTGTTTTCACTTTTTTTTTCTGACTTTAACCCCGAGGATAAGTGGAACGAACAATTCCTCGGGGACTTTACGCGCCCGAGGAGTGTAGAACGAGCCCCTTATTGCTTCAACCAATTACAAAATACCAGCTTCCCTTCCGAGCCAACTGAGACCAACCACATGGAGCCCCTGCTTGCTCCCCAAGTTCTGAGAAACCACCTTGATCGTTTTCCCCCTGGCTGTCTCATGCTGTTCCTTCTGCACCAATCCTCTTTGATATACTGTCTCAGCTTGGAACAGATTGTAACTTTGGTTTCCCTGTCTGAGAAACCCTTTCCTTCGAATGTAGCCCTGTTTCTGATTTCCCAAATCGTAGAGCATATAATAGCCCTACAGGCCTGCACAACGTAACCCACCCCTTCCAATGGGTGTACATGTGACGGAAGCCCTCTGGGCCCCTTGCTTGTGGAAAAAAAAAAAAAAAAAAAAAAAAAAAAAAAAAAAAAAAAAAAAAAAAAAAAAAAAAAAGCAATTCAACAACCCGGAGTTATCCCGGCAGCTCAGCCGGTTTAGCTTAAACTCTGCAACCCTCTACTTTGAAACCTATCTACTGTCAAGTACCTGCTGGAAAAGTTTGGGCATGGAAGGCCGACTTCGCAGCCCACATGGCCGCCAGGGAATGTTTTTTTTGGGAAAGGAATGTTTTTGGGAAAAGTTACAGAAGCTCCCTGCCGCGAAACCTTTGTATCCATATCTCCCCAAAAATGGACACTCTGCATTTGTGGTCCCCCAATTACCTTTTCTGTAATTGTTACTCCCCTGTAGGGCCTCAGACCGGGCCTGAGGCCGCAGAAGCTGATAAGGTTGGCTCTTTTTGAAGTTTCCGTTCGGCCTGCGGCACATTTCCCCTTTCTTGGATGTATCTTTCTCCTATCGGGCCCAGGTGAGCTCGCAATGCAAAAATGGGCCGTACTGGGTCGGTAACGCCCGCAATGCAAAAATGGCGGGAAGTCATTTTCGGACCTGCGGCACACTTGCACTTTCTTGGATGTATCTTTCTCAAATCGGGCCCAGGTGAGGTGAAGGCCCGAGCACCTCCGGCTGCGTACTGGGCCGGTAATGCCCTCTATGCTAAAATGGCGGGCAGTCATTTTCGGACCCTGTGGCACACTTGCACTTTCTTGATGCGGCCGCAGGTGAGGTGAAGGAAGTGCGGACGAGTATGCTATGCTATGCCCTCTGGAATGTACCGAACCTGAATATCGTCCACGTGCAACTGGGTTGGCTGGCGGCTGGAAATACGAAGTGAGCCTTGGTTATCAAGCTCCCGCGGCCTCAGCCCCGGACTGAGGCCCTACCGGACTCGGACCGGGGAGGAAGAATAACAGAAAAGTTATTGGGGGACCTGAAATGCAGCAAGTCCATTTTGGGGAGAAATGGATACAAAGGTTTTGCCGCTGGGAGCTTCTATAACGTTTCCCCATGTTTTTTGAGGTATGGCAGCGCCGGTTTCGCGGGGTGCGCAAGGAGGACACGCATAAGGGGCTCGCCACACCACTATCGAATAGCGTTTTGTTTCGATAGGTGTCAGAAAAATTCGATAGTCCTGCATTCTATAGAAAACCCCCCTTTCGCCAGACTGCACTATAGAATAGGTGGGGTATCGAATGTTTTCCGTTCTGGGTCCGCTTTCGACTGTCTGTCGTTTGTGTGCGGGTCCTGTTGTCTAGCGCGTGTGTGGGCCGTTTTTCGATAGTCCGGAATGTGGGCTATCGAAGAGAAGGCTATTGCAGGCGGACATGCACATTTCGTTCGATAGGGCTATCGAATTCCGATGTCCGACACCTATCGAAGAATTTCAAAGCTGTAATTTTCTATAGGCTGTGTGGCGATGCGAAACTCATGAAAATTCATGTTTCGATAGTGGTGTGGCGAGGCCCTAAGTCGAGAAATGGTCGAAATTTTTGAAAGTACCAAAAAAAGAGAAGCAAAAAAGACAGAATACTGAAAACAGGAAAACGGGCAATTTGATTTGAAACGACACCCTAGCTGTGTAAAACCTCGCTAACACCGCCAACGTTTCCTCAGGGAGTGAACAAAAAAAAAAAGAAAAAGAAAGGGAGCGGTAAAGGTTCGATCCTCGCCACCATAGCCATCGATGGTCCTTCTCTAGTCTCCTCTTACCCCCCCCCTCCCCCCCCCGCCCGCCTCCTCTTCCCCCTTTTCTTCTTAATTCTCTCTCTTTTATCGGTCGTAGCGCTATAGCTCTTTTATCCGTTGCAATCGTTGTTCGTTCTCACCTCTCCTCTCCACCTCCCTCCCCCCTTCTCCCCTCCCTCTACCCCTCCTACCGCCCCTTGATCAATCTTACCCTAGTTTACTTCAGTCAGCGTGGTCGTCTGCTGTGGGGAGAGAATCGCCCCTGAGAGGAACTGCTGTCAATCATGATTAGCACACAAACTGAGAGGAGGAGGAGGAGGAGGAGGCTTTATTGTGCGGAGCAAAGCCATGGTGCTGCAAGCCACGGAGAGGTCGCGAGCTCGATTCTCTGCCGCTGCGCGATTCTCCTCTCTTGCTGCTTCTTTCTCGCGCAGCCCGGTCTCGTCTCTGGCAACGGCTTTTCTTGTCGGGACAGAAGTCTCTGCCGAACTTTCACTGACTGTTCCCGTCGCGATGCGCTCTTCCGCTCCGGCCATCTCTGTCACGGCTTCCCTAGTTATAACGGCGGCCCGCCTATCACGCGTTTCCACTGGGACTACGAGACAGAGACCTACGGATGCGTGAAGACTAACGGAACGGTGTGCGTGCACTGGACGACCAAGGAGCAATCTCCAGGGGAGATCCAGGTGGGGTCCTGCCAGTGCAAGGAGATGGGCCATGAGCATTGCACGTCCTGGGCCTGTCTGCAGGATGAGGCGGACCTCTGTGGTTTTCACGATAAGATCGACTGCGGCTCCCCAGTGATTCTCGCCAATGGAACGCAGGTCACAACGTATACCAACAGCGATGGTTACTTGGTCACAACGTATCGCGATATACAGAAGGAATGGACCTCGTGCACTTGCAAGAAGACCGTGCAGCAGCTCTCCTCCGCCTCCGACTCCGATTCCGCCGGCGGCTCTTCGGACTCTCAAAAGGCGATGGCCGAGTTCGGCGTCTCTTCGGACTTTCGAAAGGCGAAGACAAACTACTGTGTAGAATGGCATTGCTCAGAGCGTGACATCACCAGCACCGAGGAAGAAGACTATGTCTGTACGGGGTTTGCAGAGACCTATTGCAGCAGTTGGGAGGGGAGCATAGAAGGGACGGAGGAGTTCGAGGTGTCCAGGTGCGAGTGCAGCTTCGTCAACAAGACGGAAGAGGGCCACGTGTACTGCGCCACGTGGGTTTGCTACGAGAGAGGGCTTGCTTATCACGATCCCAACCTTGCCTGGTCGGCCTTTGGCATCATCATGGCCAGTCCTCTATTCTTTGGCAGTCTCCTTCTGCTCACGCATGAGGATCGGCATCGCGCTTGGTGGCTGCTCATCACTTTGCCGCCTTGGGCTGGGTTTATGTTCGTCACCACCTTCATGGGGGGAGTTGGAGCTCTGTTAATTACCCTAGCTTTTCAGTTGGGACTGCCTGTGTTGATGTGCATGGGCTACAAAGCCAGGCAAGATTGCGTCAAATTACCCACAGTGACTCATAAATAGTGACCATTTATTCAATTTTTTAGTATAATGTACTGCTGTTGCTGCTGTTTCCCCCCCCCCCCTTTTCCTAAGACTCTGGGACTAACAGTCATTAAAGGAGTACAGAAGTTCGAAGAACCTCTAAGGAGGGGGGGTCGATGTATGTTAATTACCCTAGTTTTCAATTCAATTTGGTAGTGCCTCCATTTGGAAGGGCCTGGAGAGGTTGGCTGGGTGAAAAACAATTTTCCAAAAAAAAAAAAAAAATCTTGATTGCTTGATTGATTTTGTGTGTCTTGATTTTTTTTTTGATTGATTGATTGGTTTCTGCAGAGGGGTCGCCGCCCCACGCGCGCGCGCACACACACACACAGTGTCACACACGGGTAGAAACACACACACACACAGTGTCACACACGGGTATTATTATTATTTTTTTTTTTGATTGATTGAGTGATTAATTGGTGGGGGAGGGGTCCCCTCCCCTCCACCCCTCCCAACCCTGAGCACACACACAAAAACACACGCGCGCGCCTGCTGTTTTTTTTTTTTTCTTCTTTTGATTGATTGATTGATTGATTGGTGGGGGAGGGGTCACCCCCTATGAATCCCCCACAGTCATGACCGCGGGGTGAAATTTGGGATGCGGTAGGGATCCCAACCGCAGGCCATGGCCCAGGCGGCTGGGCACGGCCGAGAAACTATCATATTTTTATAAATTTAAATAATGGACCAAAAAAAAAAAACAAATCGGGTTGTAGGGTTCGAAAACCCTTCAACCCTTTATTTTTTTTTTTGGATTTCAATGTCTTTTGTTATTTTTAAGAAATAGAAAATGAAAAAAGCACACTATCATAACAACAAGGAAAGTAACAAAATATGGCTTTTTTTTTCCTCTCATTTTTTTGTGATTGCGGGTGGGACTAACATGTTGCACATGTTTTTTCTTTTTTGTTTTTTTTTACTGGACAGATGAAAAGACAAAAGGGGAAAAATATTATAAAAAAAAAATAAGCCAAAAACGTTCCATTCTTTTTTTCTCTTTTTTCTGTTTTTGACTCACACACATACTGATCGACTGCTTGATTGATTGATTGATTCATTGATTGATTGACTGATTGATTGATTGACTGATTGGTTGATTAATTGATACAAAAAAAAAAANTGTGTGTGTGTGTGTTTTGTGGTACTGGTTTTACAACGTTTGTTTTTCTTTTTCTTTTTCGTTCTTTCTTTTCCTTTTTCCTTTTTATTACACACACAAATTTCCCGACGTCTTAGCAGCTACCGGGCGTGGGACTTGGCCGACCCCCTGCAGCTGCTGCACGTTAACGGGCCGATCTATGGGCCAGGTAGTGGTGGTTTAAGGGACTCTGGACCCAGGTGCAGCTCCCCACATATAGATGGGAGCCGCCAGGGGCTATTACCACCCTTGGGGTAGTAGTCCAGGCCTTGAACGATGTTTGCAAAGCAAAAAAAGAGAAAAACCGTCCAATCCTCTGTGTGACTGGGACGTCGCCACCGATGAAGTCTGCCCCAAGGAAGAAGGTAAGAAGAAGAGCATCTTGCTCTTGAGAGAGGAACACCATTGGGATAAATGGTGGAAAGCGCCACGCCGAGACCTTTTTGGTTTCGGGCGCCCAGACCTTTTTGGTTTCGGGCGCCCAAGGTTCGGCCGTTTTGAACTACAGGCCCAAACAAGCTCCCTGTGGGTGAAGGTGTAACGGGACAATGAATCTGGTGTGGTTTCTGTGCCATATTCGTGAACCGGCTGGGCCGCTGTTTTTCAAGATACCGCACATGGGCCTCTTTCTATGGATTCGGGTAATCTGGCGAGATTAATGCCCTCAGCTTTGATTGAAAAGAAGAGGATAATACCTTTCTCGGCATTTTGGCTAAGATCAAGTGTAGTATCTGTTCTGATCAGTTTAATATCTGATCTGTGGTCCATCAGACCACACGATATTAAATTAATTTTTCTGGGCTACGGAGGGGTCGTACGGGTAAGCTTGCTTGCTCTATCCCTTCAGCGTTGCCTCTGTATTGCACTGCAGCAGAGTGCGGCGTGGCCCTCAAAAAAAAAAAAAAAAGAAGAAGAGGACCTTTTCGAGCTCTCCGTGGACTAAGGGCACACTCACACTACCACGTATTTTTGCAAAATCGCAAATTTTATGTAGTTTTTCGGGTGACAAGAGGCACGTATTTTGCGTGTTCACACAAAAGGGCACGTAAATGTCAGCGGCCTGGACAGCCGTGGGCTTACATATTTTGCAGGGACCTCCAGAGGTCCCCTCAAAATCGTATTTCTTTTTCCTCTACTGGTTTCAGGAAGCAAAAAAAAAAAAAAAAAAAGTGCATTGTGCTGTCTGAGGGCATACTCACACGGGGACCTAGAATCCCAAAATCCCAAAAAAAAGGGGAAAAGGCTGGTCACACGGATCTTCCAAATTCGCAAATGTACCTGTCTCTTATACACATCTAGATGTGTATAATGTGTGTGTGTGTGTGTGTGTGTGTGTGTATGTGCGTGCGTGTGTGTCCGCGCTCGAGGGAGGTTGAGGGTGCGTGTGTGTCCGCGCTCGAGGGAGGTTGAGGGTGCGTGTGTGTCCGCGCGCGCGGGGGGTTGAGGGTGCGTGTGTGTCCGCGCGCGCGGGGGGTTGAGGGTGCGTGTGTGTCCGTGCGCGCGGGGGGTTGAGGGTGCATGTGTGTCCGCGCGCGCGGGGGGGTGAGGGAGGTGGCGGGCGACCCCTCCTCCACCAATCAATCAATCAATCAATAGATCAATCAATCAATCAATCAATCAATCAAAAAAAAAATTGTTCGACCTGTGTGTGTGTGTGTGTGTGTGTGTGTGTGTGTGTGTGTGTGCATGCGCCGCGGGGGTAGCTTCCCCCACCCTACTAATCAATCTATTAATCAATAAAAAAAACAAAGACGTCTCTCTCTCTCTCTCACACACACACACTCACACGGACACACACACAAACACACTCACACAGCCACTATGAATCCCCCGCGGTCATGACCGTGGGGTCAAACTCGGATTGCGGTCGGGATCCCACCCCCAGGCCATGGCCCGGGCTGTTGGGCGCGGCTGAGAATTTGACATATTTTTTAAAAACCAACAATGACGGGACCAAAAAAAAACAAAACATATGGGGTTGTAGGGTTTGAAAAGTTTTTCAATAGAAAAGGAAAGAAGAAGTATCTTAAGCAAAGAAACATAATAAAAAAAAGGGAATTTATTTCTTTTCGTGTGTGTGTGTGTGTGTGTGTGCGGGGGGGAAGGGCGACCCCTTCCCCACCAATCAATCAATCAATCAAAACAAAGAAAAAGTAAAACAAAAAAAACAGCGGGTTCTCTGTGTGTGTGTGTGTGTGCGGGGGGAATGGGCGACCCCTTTCCCACCAATCAATCAGTCAATCAATCAATCAATCACTCAATCAAAAAAAAAAAAGTGGGTTCAACCCATGTGTGTGTGTGTGTGTATGTGTGTGTGTGTCTGTGTGTGTGTGTGTGTGCGTGTGAGAGAGAGAGAGAGAGATGGCTCTCTCGAAAGGGGCTGAGAGAGAGAGAGAGAGAGAGAGAGAGAGAGAGAGAGAGAGAGAGAGAGAGAGAGAGAGAGACATCTCTCTGTCTTTCTCACACATAGTGTCACACACACACACACACTTCTGAATTAAACATAGTTTGATTTTGTTTTTGTTTAGGTAGCTCAGTTGGTTAGAGCAAAGGACTGAAAATCCTCGTGTCAGTGTTTCAAATCCACTTCTAAACAGGCAACATCAATCTGTTAAGGA